GAAAAAATATAGCAAAACGATGACATGCGAGATAAATGTCATCTTTAATTTACTAAGTTCACGTGAAAATATAAAAAAGATATCATCAAATTATTGAATATAATAGAAATCTTCAATGTTCTTCTTCGTTCTAGGTTAAATATTACTCCGTAGTTCTAATTTAATTTATAGTTGAACTTTGAGAGCGAAGATTTAAATCATATTAATTAATTTGTAAAATTGCGCAAACATGATACCACAGAAAGTCATGTACACTACATTACTAGAAATGAATAGTTCTTAATGATTTCTAAAATTTTAATATTCTTTGAATACATATCAAAATATAACATAAATTATCTAAAATAAAAAATAACAATATATATAAACACACACACTTAGCTAGTTTGGAATGCATGAATACATACTTGGGCTATAAATTAAAATTGTGTGTCCATAAAAGAGATTTATTGGTATATAAAAATTATAAAAAATTTAAATGCATTATTTTCAAATGGTTCGGTCCGGTATTTTTCGGTTCTCAAAATCTAGAACCGGCCCCGTACCCGTTTCAAACGATTCGGTTTCGGTATGGGACGGCTCGGTATTGGTTCGGTTCGGGTTTTATGCCCACCCCTAAATTTTAACGTAACTATCTTCCAAAAATCATTTGAATGCCTTTTTTGATTGAATTTTTAACTGAAATTTCGTGGACATAGGATGTTTTTACTTGGACTGTAATTTGTCCCAGACCAGACCAGACCAGTCCAGACCAGATTAGACCAGTTCAGACCAGACCAGACTTGACCAGACTTGGATAGTTATCAAAATACAACGAAATTGGACATATATATTATTCAACATATAGTCCATCTTATTGTGTTATTCATTTTTTTATGAAAGGAACATGGTTAATTTATGTGTACACATTTTTCTCTCGTAACTTCGACCTTGTCCAACTAAAAACTTATTACAATTAACTTAATTAAATTTACAAACTATTTAAATAGAAATAGAAATATCTATTTCATGATATTCCCATAAATCCATTTATTTTTTATATCTTTTAATTTTCAGTTATCTAAATAATTAATAACTTTAATTCATGACTATAGTTCCATATCAAAATATTTATCTTTGATTTTCAGTAGCAAATAAGAAGCCCCCCATATAATTATTTATTTCACTATCACTAACGGATCCCTTTATTTTGTAGAGAAAAATTCACCTCCGGAATTCGGGAGGAGAACCTCCGTCCAGTCTCTGCCGTTTAAGATGGTTCCCAGTGATATTTTTCATGAATGTGTTTTAGAATATTCTTCATGAAGTATAGATTATGTCCACCAAATTTCAGCAAAAAAATTCAACAGGGAAGACAGTCAAATAATTGTTTGAAGATCACTACATTTTATATGTAAATTTTAATAGGGGTGGGCGCGGTCCAGAACGGTCCAGTAAACTAGTAAAACCCGTAATGTATCTATTAGGTTTTTAACGGTCCGGTAAGGTCCGGTTTCAAGGATGGAGCCGTTCGGTACCATGCCGTTTCGGAACGGTATAAAACGGTACAGTACAATGCCAAACACATGCTAAAAAATGGAATAAATCTTACAATTAGTAGATATCTTCACACCAACCAACTCACATGAAATGTTGATATAAATACAAGAAATTACATATGCAGTACTAAAATTCACAAATACACAAACAATGCAACACAATCAAGAAAAAATATAGCAAAACGATGACATGCGAGATAAATGTCATCTTTAATTTACTAAGTTCACGTGAAAATATAAAAAAGATATCATCAAATTATTGAATATAATAGAAATCTTCAATGTTCTTCTTCGTTCTAGGTTAAATATTACTCCGTAGTTCTAATTTAATTTATAGTTGAACCTTGAGAGCGAAGATTTAAATCATATTAATTAATTTGTAAAATTGCGCAAACATGATACCACAGAAAGTCATGTACACTACATTACTAGAAATGAATAGTTCTTAATGATTTCTAAAATTTTAATATTCTTTGAATACATATCAAAATATAACATAAATTATCTAAAATAAAAAATAACAATATATATAAACACACACACTTAGCTAGTTTGGAATGCATGAATACATACTTGGGCTATAAATTAAAATTGTGTGTCCATAAAAGAGATTTATTGGTATATAAAAATTATAAAAAATTTAAATGCATTATTTTCAAATGGTTCGGTCCGGTATTTTTCGGTTCTCAAAATCTAGAACCGGCCCCGTACCCGTTTCAAACGGTTCGGTTTCGGTATGGGACGGCTCGGTATTGGTTCGGTTCGGGTTTTATGCCCACCCCTAAATTTTAACGTAACTATCTTCCAAAAATCATTTGAATGCCTTTTTTGATTGAATTTTTAACTGAAATTTCGTGGACATAGGATGTTTTTACTTGGACTGTAATTTGTCCCAGACCAGACCAGACCAGTCCAGACCAGATTAGACCAGTTCAGACCAGACCAGACTTGACCAGACTTGGATAGTTATCAAAATACAAAGAAACCAGACCAGACCAATTCAGACCAGATCAGACCAGACCAAACCAGATCAGACCAGACCAGCAAATTACAGTCCAAGTAAAAACATCCATAATCTATGCTCATCAAAGCTAGATTACTCTTATTTTGTACTATCGTAATGTAACGACTTGACACGTTGAGTTCTACGCATACCATAAAAAATTGTTGCCACGTTTGTGGCTTTGTGCCACACTAGATTCCTACATTTCTCATTTTCTATTTATTTGTTTTTTTGGATGAAATGTAAATATATATTAACACCCAAGCAAAATTTAATAAGTACAATGTGTCCAAAAATCTAAGGTCTAAAATCCTCACCTCTCCTTTTTCGTGAGAAAAGGAGAGGGTTAGGAGAGGCTTTTAGTCTAGTCTAAATCCAAAATAGCCAATACATGCAGTCCAAAGAAATCTAAGTCTATGACCAATGCTACAAGGTGCACGCACTCGAATACAAACTGTCTAATGTCGTGACATTCAAAAAAACATGAATCTTCTTAAAGGTTGATCATCTCATGTGGGTAGATACTATAGAGTATCTTGTAAACCATATGCTTGACCTTTGCAACAACATCATCTTCCGAATTTTTTCCTTCATCAAATCTAATAGAGTTCCTTGCATGCCATATATAGTATGCCGCGGCACAGAAGGCTAACCGGGCTGCCTTCGCCTTCAAGTTTGCTCCTTTGCGGCTCTTCGAAATCCACTTGATCGCACTAAGCAATGTATTCATTTGATGCCCAAATCCCATCCAGCTTTTGATCCTCTCCCACACCCTACACGTGAATGGGCAGACAAAAAATAGGTGTGAAATTGTTTCCAATCCACCCTTGCATAGGTCACAACGATTCACAATATGGAGGTACCCGAGGCTATCCTGAGTGGGTAGCCTATTTCGTAGTGCCAACCAAACATTAAAAGAGATTTTAGGTGGAATGTAGGATTTCCAAATGAAGCTCATTGGGGTCCTAACGGTCCCCTTAACTCTCAAAAGCTCATAGGATTTCCAAAAGCCTATTTGTTTTCATTTGTTTCTTATCTTCTCTTAATCTCTTTTGCATACTACGGAGTACTTCGTATTTGTCTCGATTGAAAAAAGTTCTAATTTTTATTTAGTGTATTTCTGCAACATCAAATAGCGAATGCACTCGTTCATACATTTATCATACAAATCATTTTTAGAAATCCAGTTCACTAGTCGTCGATTCATTCTCCTATATTTATTGAAGATCTTGATCTCAAAAACTATGACACGCGCAAATTACTCTGTATTGTTTATCAAATCACACAAGGATTGATTTGTGTGTCAAAGTTGATTTGTCCACTTGTCAAGAGGCTATCAATGCATTGCCACAAGAATTAGAGCATCAATTATTTGTGACCGCAAATAGTGAATTCTTTATACATTAAAATAATCTGTTTGGTAGCACGAAAATCGACTGTTTTAGTTGATTCTACTGAAATTTATGAAGTTGTGGCTGAAGTGATTGTATCTCGACTGATTATGTTGATTTAAGAAAAAAATATTTTCAAAATATATTTTATAAATAAAATAAAGAAAAAATTATATGTAAAAATAGTTTAAAAGTCATCTACAATAGCTTCAGTCAATACAATCAGAAAAATAACTTCAATCTCACTTTTTTCTGCTTATTACACAATCCAACGCGCAAAAGCAGACGTTATCAAACGACCTGTAAACCTCATTAGAATGTTCTGTGTACACAAACTTTGCAAATTATGATAATTTTTTAGGAGCGGTTTTGTGAACTTTATTTTCAGCCTAGCATTTATGTCAATCAATTTTTTTTATGAAACATATAGTTTTTAATTTTATACGATGAATTGTGAAATAATCAAATTAAAACTAAAATTACTTTTATACGTGAAGTTATTGTACAAATCATTGTAGCTGTTATATACGGAGTATTTATTTACTTTTTTCTCAATTTTAATACGGGATAAGGGTCAGTTTGGTCCTCGAAGTTGCAAAAAAGGGGTCAAATAAGTCCTTATATAGAAGATTCTGTCCGGACATGCCATTTGAGGTGGCTCCCGATGAAATTTTTTGATGAATTTTTTTGAGCATCTTATTCATTAAGTCTAGTTTACTCATACCAAATTTCAGATAAAAATTCAATGGGGAAGACATTCAAATGAATTCTTGAAGATAATTGTGCCGTTAAAAGCGCTGTTATCTTTAAGAATTCATTTGAATGTCTTCCCGATTGAATTTTTAGCTGAAATTTGTTATGAGTAAACTAGACTTAATGAATAAGATGCTCAAAAAAATTTATCATAAAATTCCACCAGGAGCCACCTCAAATGGCACATCCGGACAGAATCTTCTATATAAGGACTTATTTGACGCCTTTTTTGCAACTTCGAGGATCAAACTGACCCTTTACTCATTTTAATACTACGTAATAAAATACTCCTATTTTAATTTTTTTCGCATCTCAACAAATGCAATCAATTCAACCTGGATTTCACCAGTGCGACAAAATACACGGAAGATGGGATTAAGTGAGTTGAGTTTAGAATTAAGTCACACTTATCCATTTACTCTGCCAGTTTTTCAACGGTGCTATGCAAGCTCTAGCTCATGATTATGGATCCACTTGGTTTACGCACATTCTGTTTTGTTTTCATAAAATAAGGTTTCCTAAAGAATTCCTGATTATCTAGTCATACTTCTATGAATTTGCAAAAAGATGATTGCGATCCTGCCAAAAGCTCAAATTTGGCAAACAGGTAATCCATATGTGTGAGATTTTGGATTTGTGGATGCTATGTGTAGGCCTTGTTAATGCCCTATGGTTACAGGCAGAATTTAGGCATGAGCTCTATAGAAATCAATTTGAACGCAAATAATGAATTCAACAGTTCCCAGGACCATGAAATGAAGGTACTTGTTTATATATCCAGCTGCATTTACAGTATCATACTATGTTTATGGAGCCAAAGTCATGCTGACTTTAACTCTGCCCAGGAATCAATTTCCCGTGCAAAGGCGCAACAGAAGGAAATTCTTCTTCTCCGTGAGCAAATTGCTCTTGCCAGTGTTAGGGTATGAGTTTCCCTTAAAGTTTTTGCTCCTCTGCTATTAGGGTCCATAGTGTATGATATTTGTATTCAACTTTCGTGCCTGGATCTCATTACATTTGGTCCATGTGATCAGGAATCTCAGCTTTTAAACGATAAGTATACACTTGAGAAGAAATTTTCAGAACTACGAATGGTTTGTCTTCCTACTGATAATTCTGCTGGTGCTTTCTATGGGGTCTATAAACCTCTCTGTACCTAATCCATGATGGCCTTCATAAATTTTGCTGTTTTGTGATATCTGATAATCTGATGTGAAGACGTGTCAATTATATTATGATTAATTTTATTATTAATTGATAGGCTTTGGATGAGAAACAAAGTGAGGCTATAGCTTCTGCTTCAAATGAACTGGCCAGGAGAAAGGGTGATCTCGAACAAAATCTTAGATTGGTAAACGAGCTTAAGGTATAGATCAAAAAGTGGATACACTAATTCTATTGTTGTCTCATATAGTTTCCGATGATCTGGTTTTATTGCCTCAATGTAGAATATGAATTTGTAAAGTAACTTTCATGCAGAGTCTGCTTTCTCACTTCCTTTTTTCCTCAGTTATTCTCTCTCCCTCTCTCTACGATTTTCTCCTTCACGATCTCATACAACTATACAAATTACAGAAGTGATAGCAACGAGTTCCTGAAAGCATGGGGCCTCTATAAAAGCAAGGATTAGGTCTTTCACTTATGAAAATATTTATGGTGCGTTTCAAATCTAAAATAGCTGAAGTTGATTATTCTTGCAATTAGGATGCTGAGTTGGATTTGGGAGAGTGCAGTAGAAAATTTTAGCAAGAAGTGAACTCATTCAATGTAAGATGCAAGTGATGCTGTGTATGACTAATTGAGAGAGGGCATGATAAATTAAAATTGGTTAAACATGTTCAGCATATGCATGTGAAAGCCACTGCCAAAAGCTCCATTGTCATTGTAGAGTCTAGCCTTCTAGGTACAAGGCCTGGTTGGAGTTAACAGAAACAAATTCTGGTTGATTTGATGACAGACATTGTAGTTTTAAGTGGTTGTCGCGTAACGGAATCTAATTTCCAAAGAGAAATGAATGGCCGAAAAGTAGGATCTGCATAGCTCAGCTCTTTACAAGTTTACTGACATAACTATTTGAAAATAAAATATTTGTTTATTGATATTGTGCATGATTGGCCTAAAGTGTCCATAAGATGACTTTGCCGAAACCCCTTACAAACTACTTGAGACATATTGGTAAAAAAAGAAGCCCTAGTAACAAATTGGTCCTCAACTTTAGAATTTCCGACCTTTCTAAGTATTGTGAAATTGACATTTTGAGTCCTTTTACTTTGATTTTGTCATCAAAAGTAGAAGTCTAAAAATGTCAATGACCGTGTTTGATAATAACATTTGTCTGGCAGCTAATAGCCGGTTGAATCAGCACATTGATAATAGCGGATTTCATTAGCTTTTATAACTAAACGCTTTCATTAGCGTTTGAAATAAAATGTTAGTAACTTAATGGTTAGCAATTAAATGTTAAGACGTAAAATGACAATTAAAGATATGAATTAAAAGTATATACTCCCTCCGTCCCCCTTATATTGTCCCATACCATATTTAGTAAAGTTTGAGTGGATCTAAATCATACTTACTTTATTCTTACTTTATCAATTAATATCAACCACACAAACCCACTTTTCTTAATAATCGTGTCACCCTCCTCCGTACCAATATAACAGGGACGGAGGTAGTATTAACTTTATTTATTTTATTTTTAATAAGTCTTTGAAAAGGTTTTAAAAAATATATTTACATTTATTTTAAATAATAACCATGGAGTAATTTTTTTTAAAAAACTAATAAATAGTCATATGGAGTATAATTCTAGAGTAGATTTTCTTAAATGGAGTAGACTTAGAAAACTAATAAATAGTCATATTATTAGACCCCCCTTACTCCACTGTAGGTGGGAGCCTTCGTGGCACTGGGGTAAATGAAAATGATGATGATTAAAAATATTATTACTAAAAATATATGAATTTATATGTGTGTGCTCGCATTAATAGTACATATTTTAAAATAACTTTTAAAACTTTTTCCAAAACTTATTAAAATAAAAAGAAATAGAATTGATTTTAAAAAATAAACTTTTAAATTCATTTTTAATGGCCATTTTATGTCTAAAAAACTAATTGCAAATTTTAAGTTACTAACATTTTATTTCAAACTGCTATTGAAAGCGGTTTGTTAAAAAAGCTAACGAATCCGCTAATATCAATCTTTTGATTCAACTGGTTATGAGATAGCAGACAACTAATATTATCAAACACGGACATTGACATTTTTAGACCTTCACTTTTGATGACAAAATCAAAGCAAAAGGACTGCAAATGTCAACTTCACAATACTTAGATTATGAAATGTCGGGAATTCTAAAGTCGAGGATCGAAAGTTTATCACTCACAAAAAATTGACCAATTTGTCACTAGGCCTTCTTTTTTACCAATATGTCTCAAGTGTTATTTTACCAATCTGTCCAATGGACCTCTTTTTTTCTTTTACCAATTTGGTAATTTGGCCTACCAATATTTTTAATTTGGTAATTTGGTAAATTGTGTATAAACTCAAAGTAAGATATTCAAATATTAGGTCATCAATTACTTTTGGCATGTGTGTATTACTGAGGAGAAATGTTGTAAAAAGTGTTAGGTCCCTGCTAGGCAGGACAATAGGGTGAAATCCTAGTAGGGAACTCATTGGGGTTCAACGTGATATCAGTGGAATTATGCAGAGCCTAAGTGGGAAAAAACTACCAGCAAGGTTGGCATTGAATTGGTGTTGGACAGAGACTTTTACAGTTTACACAATGCTTAGTAGTTTGCTTTACCAGTTTCTATTGTTGAGTTTAATTGAGTCGAACATTTCTATATACAATCATAATTTTGCAGATGATTGCCATTTCCCATCTTCACCATCCTTTCTTTCCTTGCTCTCCGATTCCATCTAAAGTAGCTAATGTTTCAGGACGTGGAGGATGAAAAATATGTTTTCATGTCATCTATGCTTGGCTTACTGACAGAATATGGCATTTTCCCCCATGTTGCTAATGCCTCTACTCTGACCCATTGCATAAAGGTATTGGCATGGGAAAATACTGGTTTTGTTCTCTTGCGTTTGGCCTAAATATGCACACCATTCACTTTAAACAAAAGAATATGATTTTCATTGTATTTTAAAACCTAATATAGTTAGGGATGGATTTTATAGTCTACCAACATATTCTTTCTGAGGGAGCGGAAGAATACTCACTGTGATCTTGTATTCCAATTCCTTAGCATAACTCATGTTTGAAACTCTTACAGCAATTGCATGATCAACTGGAGATGAAGATAAGGACTGCACATGTGAGATCACCTTTCCGCAATCTTGTCTATTTTATGAGTTAAGAATTTGAAGTTTTAGGGAAGAGTGGAAAACCAAGCTTTAGTTTGGGAACTTGCTTTAAATCCTTTGCAACTATGTTCTTTTTATCAAGAAAACTCCCAAACTATTTTCATCGTAAAGGTGAGTTCATGTCGATCAACAAAATGTCAAGAATACTTTTCACTCAAGAAGGTTGAACTAATAAAGATCAAATGTTTGCTAGATGTGAGGAGCTGAGTTTTATAGGAATATCCCTTCTGATTGACTGTTCATAATTGTTTTTGAGGATTATCTGTCTTATCATCTCTAATTTATAGGTACTTATTTGCTTACCAATTGATTGAATATATGTTTCATGCCTTGTTTATAGTCACTAGTCACTACTTCATGACATGTTCAGTCTCAGTAGCTTTTTATTCATACCATTGCATGCTGATTTTTGTTCTTGGTTCAGCTTCATGGCTCAAATGTTGGTTGTCTTGAGCTGATTTATCATTTTACAGGCTAAAATTGCAACCTTGAACTCTCTGGCAGCTAGTGGGTCTCTCAATGTGGGTTCTTTTGGTTCTATCCCCATTAATAATCAACTTCCAGACAGCTCTATGGTATTAATGGCGGGTGGCCTTCTATGTTGATTATTTTAAACAAAAGTTTTTTGAACTGTGTTCTTCTGATGCATGTATATCCAAATGATAATAAACAGCATCTGGATGAACGGATTTTAGATGGGCAAGGGAATATTGGCACACAAATGAGCAGCTTATTGCTCAATCCCAGTGCGTCTCAGTTACCGGATAATGAAAGTCACCTTATTAACTCATTTAATATGTATAGGTAAGGAATATCATATGATCAAACATTTTTATAAGCTAATAGACATTCAATCTAATAGCTTGGGTTTTATTCGTCTCAAAGAAACCCATGGTGTTGCTATTAAATTGTGGCCTCATTTTTCTCTCACTTAAACACTAAAATGCGCATGCCTGATTTAAAGTTATGATTGTAATGTTCAACTTTCTACTTTCATCGCAATTAGAACAGATAAATCACCCTTTCTGTTTATGTATGTGTGTTCTTTTTATGTGTGCGTGTATGCATATATGTGTGGGTGTCTGAAAGTATGGAGTGAATTCAATGTAGTGTCTTATTTCTTCAAGCACTCAACATAAGAATGCACACGCACTCACATCTAAAAGCAAGAATTTCCAACCTCTTAACTCAATTTAAATAGATCTAAGTAGTTTGGTTTCACTCATGTTTCTGTGATGCTCTATTTTCCATTTTGTGTGCCTTTTTTAATCAAGTGCTGTTGTAAGTCTGTAATTGGAATGAATCTCTCATTGTTTTTGTCATGAATTCATGTATCATTCTTACTTGAATGTCACCTATGTTTATAATAAAAAAGCCTAGAACGAGTTAATAATTTAAAATAAACCTTAGCAGTTTAATATTACTCATACATATATTTTGCTTCCTGTATTGTTTTTCTTTTTTCGTAATGTTTTGAAAAACAGGTATAGGAATTAGAGAACTGTATGTATACTCTTATCCTGTCAAGAACTCATGTATCAATGGTAGATGTGTGCTCTAGTATCTTTCACTTATGCACAGACCATTTTTCTGTTTTAGTTTGTATTTGCAATGAATTATTAGGTATCTACTCTTTATGGTTACATTAATATTTCAGGAATACTCCAAACAACTCAAAAAATTTGTTTAATAGAAATGGGTTAACTGAGAGTTATGGGGAGAAGCCCACTGAACCCGATCAGTTTCCCAGGAGCAATGAACTATCCAACTCTCTGAGTGCAGAAGGTAATTCAGTTTGATAGTTGTAGGATAGTAAAAAATGCATATAGAATTCTAAGGAGCCTATATTGGAGTATTAGACTAATAACATGAAATATAAAAAATTAAGTAGATAGCATATGGTTAACATTCCTCATCCAGTCATTCTATTAAAAGATTAAAAGTCCTAAATACCAATAAATTGAAGCATAAAAAGAACATGAAAGCAATTCGTCCCTGATCAGGTGTGGCATCCTTGGTATTCTGGTTATTCTCCATTCCATGTTCTACCTTTCAGTGACATTCAACAGGTACTGTGGCGTGATGTTGGAAATACTTAATTTTCCCCTCGGCCGTTGACAGGAGATCATTCTTTTAACTATCCCTATACAACCACTCTTCAGCTAAAGAAGAATACATTTTTAAACCCTGTTGTTTTTTTATCAACCATGTTAACGAATAAGACAAGTTGCACAAAAATATATTGACCATTTAGATCTATAAACCAAGCACTATAGATCTATTAACCACACAACGCCTATAGTCAGCGATGAATTGTTAGTGAGCAGCACTCAGAGCTTCAGTGATTGGAAGCAACAGTCTTCAAACAGAATGGACACATATGACATAAGTCGGGTATGAAGCCCTGACTTACTAAACGTCATCCTCAACTTATAGACTTACTGTTATACTGTCTAGCAATGACCTCAACGTGATGTAGGCCTTTTGGGTCCTTTTGAGGTTTTGACGGATGAGAACCCTATTCCTGTTATATTATGTGTCATCTTACTTATGAGTCAAAATTAAATTTTGTACGTTGATCTCTTTTCTGCCAACTGTACCGCCAGTCTGACATAAGCTTTGGTTGTAATTGAGATGAAGAAGGAAAAAAAGGAAAAAGATAGTCAGAGAGGTCTGAATAACATGATGTGGGATCTGAGTGGGGAACATAAAGAGACAAGAAGAGTGTTTAACAAGAAGAAACTCCAGGGGAATCTGGATTGGAGTGGAGATTTTTAATTGCCTTGTCAAATGCTACTTACTTTTTCAAACACTTGTAACATTAAGTTGAAAGTTTACATGCCACCTTTTTGATGTCTTTATTGGCTAGAGATTAACCACTAATTTGTGGCCAGAAAGGGCATTTTTGTAATTCCAAATTGTGAACAATGGCTATTAACATGCATACAATGACTGTAAATACATCCTTTAATTTCAAAATGCCATTTCTAGCAAAAAAAAAAAAACTTTGCTAGATTCTATCCATTTATCATTGTTTTTCATATTTGAAAAAGTATACATTTTAAATTTGAATGTAATATTATGTGTTCCTTTGCAGGAAGGAGTCCTGGTATAGAAGGCTTCCAAATCATTGGAGATGCTAAGCCAGGTGGTAGACTTCAAGGCTGTGGATACCCCGTTCAAGGAACTTCTCTTTGTATGTTCCAGGTAAATAAGTTTTAGGCCAAATCACTAAGGTATTGGAACTTGGAAGGTTAATTTGCCAGTGAAAAATCTCGCTCATTGGCAATCTGTGTTTATGATAATAAGGTCAAAACCTAGCACAGTGTTTGGTTCCAGAGAATAATTGGTTGGGAGGGGAGAGGTTTCAGTCTCTAAATCTTTTGGGCAAGTAAAAAAGTATAAGTGCAGGGAAATCTATTTTAAAGTTTTTCTTCTTGAAATATTATGCTCTTTATCTGTTGTGTTGTGTTATTCATGTTACAAGAGAGTACAACAATAGCTATATTTATAGCTATAACTAGGGTACAACTAGGGCTAACTACCATGAAGCGGGCTGAGCCCACTATGCTAGGGTTTAGGGTTTTAACACTCATTTTCAAACTGGAGCATATAAGTCATATGCACCAAGATTGTTACAAATGTATTCTATTCTAGGACCTCGAAGAAACTTTGCTAAAACATATGCAAGCTGATTTGTCGTGTTGACATGACCTATGATGATTTTTCCTTTTAAAATCTTCTCTCAGATGAAGTGACCATCAACCTCAATATGTTTACTCCTCTCATGAAGTATTGGGTTCGATGTGATGTGCATTGCAACTTAGTTACCTCACATCAATTGCGCTGATATTATGTTACCGTTTCTCAATTCTTGAAGGAAGTGTTTTAACCATAAAATATCACATGCTCTAAGGGCCATTGTGCTTCAGCACTTGATCTTTCAACAACCTGTTGGAAATCAAGTTTCCACTAATCAGTCGGACATCCAACCCAGTCTGCATCAGCATCACATTATCCCCCAATGTTATTGTGGGATTTGTTTCCTTGGTTTTCGTGGAGTAACCAATGATATGGTGTTCTCTTTATGTATCCAAGACTCGGGTAGCTGCATCACAATGTCCATCACGTGACTCATCCCGAAACTGGCTAAGCACACTTACATTGAAGGAAATATCAGGCCTCGTAATTGTGAGATAGTTCATCTTCCCAATAAGTCTTTAATATCTCTCTTGATCCGGTAAACGCTCCCATTGTTCATGTAAGAGTGTGACATTTGGATCCATTAGTGTATCTATTAGTCTACACTCCAACATACCTATTTTCTCAAGAATATCCAATGCATACTACCTTTGAATAAGGAAATTGCCTTTGCGAGACTTTGCAACATCAAAATCAAGGAAATACTTAAGCTTCTCCAAAAAAAATTTGTTTGGAATTTACTAAACAGATATTCCTTGAGTTGATTGATTCCTTGTTCATCATTACCTGTAATGACAATGTCATCAACATATACAACCAGATAAATGTACCTATTTCGTGAGGAATGTCTATACTCTATAGAATATCGAATGATCATCATCACTTTGGATCATGCCAAATCTACGAATAACATCACTGAATCTCCCAAACCACGCACACGGAGATTGGCTTCTAACTTTAGTCTATTAGGTCATCATCATCAATTCATCATTATTACCCCAAAGCCGCAAAGGCTCCCACCTATGGTGGGGTAAGAGGGGGTCGGATGTACACAGCCATACCCCTGTACTAAAGCACAAAGAGGCTGTTTCTGGATGACCCAGAGTGAAACTCGGATCGAAAATTGCATGGACTAACCGGTGCTTCATAACAAAGCACAAACAGTTTAGTGAGCCATTTTGCTTTATTTCATCATATTCCCAAGATAAAAATAGTGGACCTTTGAATCCTGGAGACCTTAGTCTATTAGATAAAGACAAAAAAACTTATACATCAAATATTTGATTTGATGTCTTCTTTTCTGCAATGCTGCATTTCAGTGGGTCCGCGATAATCCTGATGGTACTAGGCAGTATATTGAAGGTATGCTTATTTTCTTAGAAGGTCTAACATTGTTCTTTTTTAGATGGTCTAGAATTGTTATACAACAAATTGTGCAAACTTTAAAACTTTGGTTATTGATTAATAACTACGTATTATTATTGTTATTATCAATTAGGGGCCACAAATCCTGAATACATTGTGACAGCTGATGACGTTGATAAACTAATAGCTGTTTTGTGCATACCTATGGATGAGCAAGGACATCAGGTAACTTATATACTTATATTTTAATTATGCGTTCTACTCAATTCAACACTTCATTAAACATGCAGAGCACATGTTCTAGAGTTACTGATTTGAAATTACTAGTACAAACTTTGATTTTTAACATGCCTTTTTCTTCCTGAATGGTATAGTGTGTTTGGTATAGTTACTCACCTTAATCTATGTTCAGCAATGTGAAAAAATAGATTTATATCATAAAACTGGACTGGTCACAATCTCACTCTTCAGTTCTTTCTTATTTGTAAGTACATACTTCGCAGTATCTCACCCACATTTAGTTTTGGTACACACCTAGTGGGCTAGTACCCACTTTTTATAACCATTTTCAAATTTCATTTGTTTGGTAATTATGCGTTCTACTCAATGCAACACTTCATTAAACATGCAGAGCACATGTTCTAGAGTTACTGATTTGAAATTACTAGTACGAACTTTGAATTTTAACATGCCTTTTTCTTCCTGAATGGTATAGTGTGTTTGGTATAGTTACTCACCTTGATCTATGTTCAGCAATGTGAAAAAATAGATTTATATCATAAAACTGGACTGGTCACAATCTCACTCTTCAGTTCTTTCTTATAAGTAAGTACATACTTCGCAGTATCTCATCCACATTTAGTTTCGGTACATACCTAGTGGGCTAGTACCCACTTTTGGGATGAAACTCTAGCCCAAACCCTGATGGGCTCAGCTCACTCTGTATAGTTCTACCTATAAATATACCTCAATGTATAATTTTTCAGTATGAGAAATAAAAGAGTCTACTTTCATATTATCACATGCCACAGGGGCTTAGTCCCTTTTATGCTCCGTGGAAGGCCAATGCAACAACTGGCCTTTATTTATATCTATTTTGATGAATTAATGCATGGTGCCTTCCAAAATGGTGGTTGGGAATACTAGATTTATTGTACTCTAGGTAAAGTATTTGTGCATATATTAACAATCTTATCATTGATTTAAAGGGGTATATCATTAGCATAGAAATTTTGATAGTTATTTTAAAGGTCTTATCCTCCCATCAAAGAAAACATACTTACCTATGTCTCCAGAATCATAAAATGATTCTTAGCTGTGTGCCTGAGTATATGTAGTATCTTTTCTCCAACCAATTAAAGCATATCAACTGAAGTCAGTTATTTGGCGACTTAAATAACTACATGGAAGTTATCAAAGAATTCAAAAGTTAATATGTTGTATAAAAATTGTTTGAATATTTCTGAAGCAATAATCATTGTAAACTGTTTACAATTGAATTGACGTTGTGCTGGTTTATTGTTTTCCACCTTTCTCAAATGATTTTATTTTTTCGTTGATGTATTTCAAGTCGTTATTTTTATGTATATTATTATTTTACCATTACTCCATTGACATTTACTATTTCCTATTTTCAGGGAGAGCTTGTGAGTCTTTTTGCAAATGATCAAAATAAGATAACTTGTGGTATGTCAAGCTCACCATTCAGTAAATAAAATAATTGCATCAAGTTTGTCTGTTTGAATGACCCTCATTCTCTTCTTATGTACTAGTTATCCTCGATTGCTGATGAACCACCCGTACGTGCAGATCATGGCATGCAATCGGACATTGATACTAATATTTCCAATGGCAAAGCCGCATTTGATGTTTTAATGTTGGTAAGCATTTTTTTATTAAACAACATATTATTTCTTTCACATCACTTGGGTGGATGTTTATGTGATTATGTCCAGTTCCTAGATGCTAGATTTGTGCTACATGAATGTTAAAAATTGGTCAAGTCAAAGATATGCATTAGATGTTTGGTTTGTAGCAGCTTGTGAAGGAGCTTCTCTTGTATTTTTTCAATGAATCTCAACTCTAGCGACATTCAATATGGGGATAGTAATTTATATTCATATGAATTTAACTTGTCATAGCTCCTTAATATGCAGAAAGATGTAGTTATCTGAATTTTGATACATGTAAATTGTAACGAGTAGTTGATTTACATAATGGGTCAGTTTCAATATTGCTTTTAGGCCAGTGCTCTCAATTTGCATTGACATGCCTAAAACAATCTATTAGTTGTATAAAAAGCCTTTTCTGGTAGACTAGTGGCACACATGTTGCTGATGACTGCTAATAAAAACCAATTATTATATATGTCAGACATTAAAGATATCCTCATTACAAAAAACTGCATTAGAATTTGTGATTACTGAACTGTTTCAACTCGCCCGGTCTCTAACTTTTTTATCATGGCTATTTGTCCTATATGAGAAGTAACTTGTCTAGCATTAGCACAGCAGTCCAATCATACGAAGTATATAAAAGGAATATTCCTGTTGGTTTTAAATAGGTTGATTCTTCTGAGAATTGGGAACCAGTAACTCTCTTTTTGAGTCAATCAAGCTTCCAGGTCCAAGTACATAGATCACAAGTTGTTGTACTTGCAGAGAAGTACTCAAAAGATTTGTCAGTAAGTGTTTAATCTTTGTTGCATTGATTGATTTGAGTTGAAGCTCGAAATGCATGGTTTTGAAAGTGACCATTTACATTGGTCTACAGCTGTTTTTGGCTTTCATTCTCAAACTCATATTCTCACGGCATATTATTATAACATCCTTGACACTGATACAACAACAACATCCAACCCTTAGACCCAAAAGAAGTCGGGGTCGGCTAACATGAATCGACATATGGAATCAGAATTTAAGAGGATAAAAAGAGATTCCTTGACACTAATAGGAGTGGGAAAATATTAGAAACATCATATGCTTAGGGTTACCTCCTATTTTGGCATTTCATATACATTTGTATCAATACACATTACTTGAAAAGCAACTCCAACTTTTGTATTTTTCTATTTTAATCACTTGTACATACTGAAGAAGGGGAGCCTTGGCGCACCGGTTACGGTGTTGTTGTGTGACTGAGAGGTCATAGGTTCAAATATTGGGAGCGGCCTCTGGTCAAAATGGCAAGGGAAGGCTGGTCCCTTATACACCCTTGTGGTGGGACCCTTCCTCGGGCCCTTTCCTTGCAGGGACACCAATGTGCAACCGGGCTGGCCTTTAACCACTTGTACATATGGAAACATATTAGTAGAAGAATCATCACACATAAATGTGTAGTTTGTTGTACAAAGCAATGAAATTGATGATGACCTTATCTTCTTTGTTAAACCATAAAAAGAGACCTTGTCTGAAAACCATCCAGTAGTAGCCAACTAGCCACCTGTCTTTTATGGATAGGTTCTTGAGATATCTCCAGGTGCTCTCTAAAGATCAGTCTTCTAACAAACTTTGATGCCAAGGTAGATAACTTGGGGTCCCGATGTTGCATGAGAATGTTCAGTTTTGATCATCATCAGCACAATAGTTCCAACTACCCTAGAGTTGGTGGCATCAAATTTAGTTTCAACTAATTAAACATATTTAACACACTCAAGTGCATGAGAAGGCAGTGTAAACAAGTCTTACATCAGATGCCCTTCCTGCTGCAAGTTTGTTTTTATTCTTCATAAGAATGAATAGGGAGATAAAGTCCTAAACCGTCATCTTCATAGGGTTTTCCCACTCATATAGAAATTTTCATGAGACAGCGATTATTTAAGGCTTGAGATAGTTGCTACAGTGACATATTTTAATCATCTTGGTGTTTGAATAATAAGTTACATAGCACGCAAAATGTTGCTGACATGTTCGATGTCAAATGGGATATCTTATTTATCCCATAAATGTCCTTCCATGTTATTGCAGGTCAAAATTCCAAGTGGGCTATCATCTCAGTTTGTTATATCATGTCCTGATGGGTCGTCACACCCCTTTAGCACCACAAACAATGATGTCAGGTAATATGTTGTCACAGAAATAGGAAACACACTCATGCTTTCCATGCCATCAGTTACTATTGGAGTTTTCTTCTACAAAACTCTATATATTCTTGATTACAGCATGCATTAGTTTTACATTCAGGAAACTTAATGTCAGTTTGATAGGTGATATACTATATGTGACTGGATGCTAAACACCCCTTTCCAATTATCTTTTTTCCCATTATGGTATTCATTCCCAGCTACTGTTCTCTGATTTTATGGGTACGATTGGTCCTAGAAAATGCGGTGGAAAGGAAAAGAGAAATGGCAAGGAATGTTAGTTTCTTATGTTAGCTTTACCATGGAAAATTGTGAAGGGAAGTTATTTTCATATGTTACCTTTTACCACGAAAACTGCAAAGGAAAATTAAATATGAGTTTCTAAAAAAAATCAGGCCTTCTCAATCCTCGTATAAAAGGAATAAATAAATAAATAAAATGAGTTTTAGCAGATGTGTATTTTTTTTTGGAGTTTGAGCATATCTTTTATTGTTCCCCATATTTTCATTCCTAGTTACTACTAGTATCTTAGTTTATTAGCCAAATAGAAGTTAACTAAAACCCGATCATGCCCTGATAGTCCACAGAAGCAGAAAGCTGATCATTTTTGCTTTCTCTCTTGGTTTAATGCACTAGAGGTAGGATTATGCTCATACTCTTTATTTTGCTGCAGAATGCGTGATACACTTGTACTGACAATGAGAATCTTTCAAAGCAAGGTATTGTTCCATTACTCACCCAAAGAAAAATAGATTGTCTTCTTTATGGATGTTACAAGTGCTTGCGTATAGCGGTGCTGTTACCAATGCTCTACTTAAATTGCAATATTTCACCATCCTCCCATATCAGGTTCCTTAGAATCGAACTCCAAAAATATGAACTTGTCCATAAAAGATCGGTTCGATCCAGTTTCAAATTCACTTAACTTTTAACAAGCTTTAAGAATTTTAAGTTAATTCTGAGTATGATTACTCTCTTTCAAGCAGGCATTAGATGAAAGGAGGAAGGCTAAAGCGTAGTTTATTTACAGCCACTTTTCATTCTTTTGAGGAATCAGGAAAGGTCAGGGCAATTGTTACACCCAGTTTTGGTCAATAAGTTGGCTTAGACTTGCTTGTAGTTATTAATGCACTCAATGTTGGACCATGTACCATATATTTGTACCAATATACCCCTTCATTTTATCATTTTTGTATCCCTAAAGAGCACTCAAATTCAATGTAATAATCTAGCATGTTGAAACATTAGTTAAAAACTTAAAATGAGACATTGCGTAATGTATTTCAATTACTTTCCTAAATAAATGTTGGATAACAATGCTAAGAGCTTGTTTAGGAAAGCTGAAAAGTTAAATAATTTCTAGGAATTGGTTATATTTATAATCAGTTATTGTTTTAATCGGTTATAATTAAATCATATTTTTTGGATAAGCTGGTTAAAAATGGTTTTAACCGGAAGAAAAAATAAGCTACTGAAAAATGATCAAATTTTCATATTCAAGAAAATATTACTCCGTATTAAAATATGGAAAAGTTGAAAATAATAATCCCAACTATTGGCTGTCCGCTAACAATAATCTCAACTATTGATTATTTTTGTATAATCCCAACTATACAGATAGGCATGGACTCGGTTCGGGTTGCTCGGCCCAAGAACCGGGCTAATCCGCTACTGTGCGGAAGCGGCCCGGCCCGGGAAAGCGGTTCCGGTTCCGGGCTTAGGCCCGGCCCGAAGGGGTAACCGGTTCTGGTTCCGGGTCATGAAAAAGTCGAGCCGACTCGGCCGGTTTGAGCCCTTTTTTTGGGGTTTTTTGGGTTTGAGCTAGGTTAGGTTAGTCATGGACCCGGGCCGGGCCGGGCTCGGCCGGGCTTTTTTTGTGAAGGAAGAACCGGAACTGGCCTGGGTACTCGGGTAGGCACCGGTTCCGGGCCGGGCCGGTTCATGTTATTTTTTTTTTTAAATTTGTTTTGCTATGCTAATTAACCCCCGACCCTCCCCCCAACCCCCCAAACCCCCCCAAAACACCCAGACCAACTCGGGAGAAACCAAAAAAATTGAAAAAACCGGAAAAAAAAAAGAAAAAGAAAAAGAAATAGGCCGCGCGGGTTCGGGGCCCAAACCGGGCCGGTTCCACTTTTAGGAGGCCCGAGCCCGGCCCGATTAATTCCGGGCTCGGGTGGCCCAGACAGTTCCTATAACTGGGTACCGGGCCGGGCGGCCCGACCCGAGTCCATGACTAGTTTAGGTTGGTTGGGCTGGGTGTTTCCGAGGGGTTTGGGGGGGTGGGAGGATTGGGGGGGTGGGGTTTGAAATAAATAAGAAAACACAAAAAAAAAAAATTGAATCGGAACCGGCTCGGCCCGGAACCAGTATCCGAGCCGATCTCGGGCCTTACCCAAAACCATCCAAGTCCGGCCGGGCCCAGGCCCGAACCGGAACCGGACCGGGCCCGGTCCACCCCTATATACGGACCGTCTGCCAATAATGGTCCATGACCAGATAAAAAGTGAATTTCAAATAGAAATAAAGCATAAAAATTAAAAGTTGAGATTATTTATGAGGATTACTTGCTACTCGTATATTTCTTCTCATTCACTTTAGAAACTATAAGAATTTATTTATAGCCGGTCACGTTGGACCATTATTGACAGAAGGTTCCTAAAGTTGGGATTATTCTGAAATAATCGATAATTGGAATTATTATGAGCGGATCGTCAATAGTTGGAATTAGGCCTGGACTCGGGCCGGTTTGGGCCCGGCCGGGCCTCGGTTCATGAAAGGGGAGGCCCGGAACCGGCCCGGGTAACCCCCGGGTCCGGGTCGGGCCGGGTCGGGCCTCGGTCCATTTTTTTTTTTGGCTTCTCCTAATTAACCCCCAACCCTCCCCCCACCCGCAAACCATCCCAAACCACCTCAAATGGCCCAAAATACCCAGCCCAACCCAAAAACTTAAAGAAAATTCAAAAAAAAAAATGGCTCGGACCGGGCCTGAACTGGCCAGGCCGGTTCACCTTTTGAGGGCCCGAGCCCGGACCGGAACCCCAGCGGGTCGGGCCTACCCGGACCGGTCCCTGGCCGGGCCGGCGGTTCGGGCCGGTTCAAACAGTGACTGGTTCGGGCCGGTTCCGGGGCGGGCCACCCAGCCCGAGTCCAGGCCTACTTGGAATTATTACCATAAATCTTTCTCTATACAAAAGAGAGTGGAAAAGCAAGCAAAATTCCCGCCTAAAGTCACGGGTCACAAAATGGGTCGGGTACTGTGCAACTCTAATTAAATGTTGGGCTGATGGTCGGGTAGATCGGGTACGGTGCAAACAGCTTTGATAAATGTTGGTCAATGTTTGCATTTAATGCCAACCTTACTGATTGGCTGATTAAATTGTGAGATCTTTAGTCTCTGATTTTCAACCGAACAAAATCCTGCTTTTATCAAATCCAATGTGGACAGTTCGAAAGCTGCTCGGTTGTTCATTCCAACCAATTCACATTAAATGAAAACGTGCTAGAGGCTGTAATTGGACCTTGAATATTGTATTCTGCATTATTGTCCTCGAGTTTGATGCAATTGGATACATGATTTTGTCCAATGGATATAACATTCGGAAATGAATTAACTCAATGCACATCCACTATAAATATGGCTGATTTTGGAGTGCAAATGCAAATATAGAACTGGTGGAGTGGGTTGTCATATAGCTAAAGAGTTGCCAAACACCTTTAACGAAGAAAAGGTTGGAAATGGCCTTCCACAATCAGGTATGAATATTCAAAAAGTTTTAGGGCCCGTTCGGTATAGTTGTCAGTTTCATGTTTTTTGTTTTTTGAAAACAAAAAACTATTTTTAGTTTTTTACTTTTCTGAAAACAGTTTTGATTTTAGTGTTCAAATTTCAGAAATTGAAATTACCTTCTTTCCTATATATAAGTAGCATGCAAATAGCATTATATGGATTCTCACAAATCATAACATAATTCAATTAATTAAAAAACAACCACAATATAAAAAGTATAATCCCTTAAAAGCATGAAATCATGGTGCAAGGGTAATTCATGTTGACAGTGGAAGCAAATACTCTACTCCGTATTTCGTATGTATGTATCAACACTCCATCACTCCAGAAAGGGAGAAAGACGAAACCTGAAGGCAGACTTGGTAAGTAGCTGGAGATAATTTGGTAGAAGATAACGAGATTCGGTGATTGAGATTTTTTGGAAGAAGACAGAGGGTTACTGCAAGGGATAAGAGAAAGAGACGAACGAGCTGAGAAAGTGGAACGAGAAAGTGGCTTTGACTTTAATTTTCGAAAGAAAAAAAATTGATTTTTTTTTTGTCTTTAATTTTCGGAAACCACCTTTCGTGGTTTTTGAAATACCGATTCCGTTTTTTGAAAACACTTCACGCGATTCTAATATTTGGAAACAGAATCACTTCTTATCGAACAGGTTTTGTTTTTTATTTTGAAATAAAAAACGGAAACGGCAAAACCGAAGTGATACCGAACAGGTCCTAACATTTGGGTTCATTCTTATTAAAGTCATTTATCATTACATGTTGGTACTATTATTAAATACTACTACGTATTTGTAAATCAGATTTGGCATAGCAGGTAGTAACAAAATGTTGATTACGTTTGCAGTTAACACTACAGTGAACAAATGTCGATGTTCTTATTCACCATACTAGAACTCTAGAAGAACCGCAGTAAGAATGCTTTTAAAATAATATACATGGTTCAAGCCATTTCATCTAACTATTTTTGGATCATATTTCAGGAAGGAGTCATGATCGCTTCAAGTTGTTCAAGGAAGGGGGCTTTGTAAGATGGAAAATTGTGTTGTATTCTTTTTTTATTAAAACATGACTGGTAATTCTATATATGAAAACTACGTACGACATTTGGACTGCTTCAAAAGAAGTGTGTAATAGAATCCTGGATTCTTTGTAGTTTTCATTACATATTCTAAAACAGTAGGGTCAATTAGTTGAAACATTACATTTTCAAAATTTTATTTTAAAAACAATCTGTATTTGATGTCATTTCAATGAGAAAAGTAAGCCTTGAAAACTCAGGAGAAGAGGTGTACCAAATCACAACTAGAACATTCTTCTCATTTTTTAAAATACATCACAACATATATTTATGGGGTATTTTGAGTTTGCATTTCATTTTATTGTTTAAATTAGACTTTACACCCCGTTTTTTAAAATACATCACAACATATATTGAAATCTTTAAAATCATACTATCAATGTTATTTACAAGTTAAGGAAATGTTTCGAAATATTTAGTCTACCAGAATTTAATTGTATTATTTAACTTTTACTACTGATTTCAAAATATATTTCACACCAATTACGAGTCATAAGTATATATCATTTCCTTAATTCATTATAATAATAATAAATATCTTTTCCTTAATTATAATTGCTTATGTGAGTTACACCTATACGCTTTGCTTTGCGTTTATTTACACATTACCTGATAACGTTAACAAATATTATGATGTACGGAGTAACTATTATTTCATATATGTCCCGTGCATCGCACGGGTGAGAATCTAGTTTTTCCTTAAAATATTGATTACAGCTTCCAACTACCAATCGACTTGGGCATGTTCCGGTCCTATTATGGTCCTATTATGTTCATACCTCTAAACAGTTTGTATTAGAGATAAACCTTAAAAATATTATCTTGTGTAATTAATTAATTGTAAATATTATCTCTTAGTTAGTTACACTTGATCTCATCATTTTGTACTCCTGTATTATTCTTTCCATATCACTTTTACATGGTATCATAGCTATTGATCCAAACCGTTTAATTTTTTTCATCTATCGGCTGCTTAAGCTCTACTGCATACGATAATCACCACGGCTTCCGATGCCACCTCCGGTCACACCTCTAGTGATATTCATATTCCTAACTCTTCTCAACCTAATAAAACGCTAATTTCTGTCAATCGGAAGTGATCAAACTCACTGCCACAAACTATATCTCCTGGAAACTTCAGGTTCAATCCATTCTCACAAGATATAACCTTGATGGCTATTTGGACGGATCTCTTCTCTGCCCACCTGCGACCATCACTGTTGATGGTACTGCCACTCCTAACCCGGCGCATGTCTCCTGGATACGGCAAGATAAACTTTTTTTGGGTGCTATTATCGGTACTCTCACTTCTCTGGCAGGGGCGTCTTTAGCATTTTGGAGGCCCTAGGCAGGAAAAAATTTTCGGAGCAAAAAACATATTGAAAAGAGATAAATTGGATAAAGAACATCATAT